GAATTTTAGTTTTATGATCTGGGTTTGATGTGATTTTAGGGAGAGGATCTGGGTGTGATGTTTTTACTGGGACATTTTTTAAGTGGTTGTTCTTTTGGGACTCTTTTTAGGTTGCCAAGTTGCAAAAGTCACCAGTAGTTTGGCCCTCATTTTGATTTTTGTTTTTCTAAACCTTAAATCAAAACACCTAGAATATATTGGAATCATGTTGTTGTACAGTTTATACATAACCCATTTGGTTTAGCTAATATCTATTGGTCCAATTTGAGTTAGAATTTGGTTGAATTGAGCCAAATGTTTTAAAATGGCTGACTTGGAAACACCCACAAGTCTACTATGGAATGAGTAGTAGCTGCTGTTCTATGGACTATGGTTAACACTCTGGTTCTCTCTTTCATTTATTCATCTAATATTTGCATTTGTATCATTTGGTGGTAATATTTGCTATGGAGTTTTGCAGGTATTCTAGGTGGTTCTCAATCATTTTGATTCTCTATCATTTGTATCATTTGTGTTTTTCTATATGTTCAAGAAACCGATATGGGTTTGTGTTTCCTTCACTACAAGAAATTACACATTTGGCGACTAAATTTGGCAACCAAAATAAATTTAGTCGCCAAAAGTGTCATTTTTGGCGACTAAAAAATATATTAGTCGGCGTTGGTTCGAAGTTTAGCTACTATATTAATTTAGTCGAGATATGCTATTTATTGGCGATTAAAAAAAACTTAGTCGCTAAATATTAAGTAATAGGCGACCAAAAACCTGTTAGTCGGTGATAGTTTATATTTTAGGCTATGAAAAATTTAATTTGATCATCGTATACAATTATTTACCAACAAAAGAAAGTTTAGTTGTCAAAGATCATGCATATTTTTTGGGTTACTCTTTGCCGACCAAAGAATTTCGTTGCCAAATATGAGCTTTTCGTGACTAAAAAAATGTAGAAGTCATATAATAGCTGTTCCCGGGAAGTTAATATCTCCTTTTTAACTGCTTAATCATTGTTGGAAACATTATTTTCATTTATTTCCCTTTTGAACTAGAAGAGAGGTAGTAGTCATACTCATACACGAGGAAATACAGTTGTTTTAGTCTTATTCAAATATGAATTTAAGAAAATATTAAGACCTTTGTATGGCCAATCTATTCTGAGTCTGGTTTTATAATTTGAATATTTTATTATATAAAAAAATTTGGCGACCATTTTTTATAAGAAAAATTAGAGTGATTTTATAATCATGACTTGGTATTCGTTGTAATGAAAATCCCTATTCATGCTTTACTTTTTATGGAAGTAGCCTCTCCTAATCTTTCGTCTTTGGTCATATCAGATCGCTATGACATTACCATTCTGCCGCATAAGATATCCATTCATTCTTTCATGAATTGTGGTGCAGCATGTCCATGGATGATAAAAGCAGAATGTTAACGATAGCCAAACTCATAATTTGTCAATTTGCCTTATCCTCCTCACCATCTTCTGTCAATATCATGGTCTCTGCAGTGTTCCTCTGCCTCGCATCCTCTCCTCAACACCAACACACCTCCACCACCGCGGCCGCCGCAACAACAACAACAACCACCCACATTATCAACCTCTCTAGAATAGATGTGTGTGTTATATTTTCTGTAGTCAATTTCTTAGTCTTTACCATTTCTATATCCAAAAACTAATCTCTTTTTTTTGTTAGTCTAAAAAATAAAAAATTAAATGATGAGCTTATATGAGATTCTACTACTCTCTCTCTTACCCAATTCAAAAACAACCTCTCCAAAATAGAATGATTATGTAGTTTTATCTGTTTTGTATGTTTCTATTTGGTATTTTTTCACTTTTTTTTTTTTGGCCCAGGTGTGATATATCTTAAGGCATGGGTTATATTCTAATTCTAATGATAGCCAAATTTTTGTTTGGCCTAAGAGTGATATATCTTCAAGTTTGTTGGTGGAATTGAGGTCGTGATCATCATTTCTGTTGGTGGAATTGATCTTGCAATTTATGTGTTAAGCTTTATTAATTTAAATACATTCCTCTCTAATTTTGATTTATATTTTAATCTCATCATTAATTGTACCGTGCCTTCAGGCACGGGCATACGCTAGTAATAAAATAAAGGCAACAGGAATAAAAAAAAAAACACAATAGTGATAGAATTGAAAACACCAACAGTAAAGAAAAAGATGAGTCACATTTCCTAGAGCAACTCAATATCTGAATTCTGTTACTTCTAAAAACATGAAAACCTTTCATGGATTGCATTCATACTGATCATGCAAACAATTTAGGCAATAAATTTTCAACTGATGATCAAATCCATAATGATATCGTCCTCAAAATAAGCCTCCAAGCAGGTCTTCAAGAGAGGAAAAAAAATCCGCACAACGTCTAGCAGTGCCTAGTAAATTACTTCCTAATCACAACAGCACTTCAATCACCATTAAATACCCAGCAGCACCAATTGAGGTTATTAAGAAAATTGTTCACAGAGGAATCCTTAAATTCTCATAGAGCCTTTACTCAAGTCAACTAAATTCGAACAATTCTATTCTACCTTATTATTATAAATTAGATTGTTACGAGCTTTCCACAATGGCAGCATAGCAACAAAGCATAGAAATTTCCAAAGGAGGATATACCCATTTAATGTAAAATTGTTGTATACTTTACCAATTTGGACACTTTGACCATACTTTTCAAGCAAACTCACAATGTAAGAGTACATGATATGCTGATTCTAAAAACATATGATGGAAAAAAAACATATCCCCTCTTCAATAAGATGCCACAATCACGAGTAGGCTACCTTGCCAGCTGAATACTTCAATTCAAAATGGGCACAGGTTTTTCAAGATTTTTGAAGATGAGATAGGTAATGAAGATGCTCCGTAGACAATGACAGTGTTCATAGAAGGATTTAACAGTAAACATTTCCTATTTTTCTCTTTTTTATCATAATGCATCACTTCTGTCGGTCTTTTCTGTTTAAAGAATTCTCCAACAATCTTAACAAGGACTCATAAAGCTCCAGTTCTCCGGCAAAAAAGTTTTCTCCTGAACAACTATACAACTCCTTAATCATGCATTCCTTGCAATTAGAAATTAGAAAGTGCTGAAACCTAGCTTTCAGGTGCTATTTGTTTCACTAGATAAAGCGGAATGGAATCATCATTCCAACAAAATGTTCATTCCCATGTTTGGTTGATTAAAAATATAATGAAAAGTACATTGCAAATGGAATCATCATTCAACATTGTTAGGGAATGATCATTCCATCTCATTCCAATGAACCAAATAGAGCTTTTTCTCCCATCCAAAGGTCAGACCAAAATTTGATTGAGGATCCTAATGACCATTCCTTCCTTTAACATCTTCTAAAAATTTTCCGTATAACTTCATTAACTCTTTAGAGGGATTTTCAACCTAAAAAATAGAGGGGCTGATTCGGTTTAGATGGCATAGTGACAGTACTAAAAGGTTTCTCCCATCTTTCTTCTATTGCTATTTGCATACGTGTTGCCAATGTTTTGGTGGGGCTGCTGTAGTTGCTTGCATTTACGAGCTTGCAGCTTGGTTTCTGAAGGGATTATTGTGGAATTCTCGGGGGCTTGTTTTGCAGCCTATTGTTAGTATTGATTTGGAATTGTTGTCACTGCTTTGTTCAATTTTGGGACTCTTTTCTTCTTCTTCTTCCTCCTCCCTATTCTATTATGTTTTTCTCTGGTTTTGGTTGGAATCTTTCCAACATTGTTTGTTTATTGGGTGGCATTTGAATATGATTTGCTGGGGTTTTCGTGCCAACCTATTTGGAATGGAATGGCTTTGCTATGATGCACTTTTGCACTATCACTTTTCTTTACTGATGTTTATATTAGTGTTTTGTATTACACTATTCCACAATATCCATGCATACTAGGTTGTCAACAAAGGAGAGAGGGGTTGCCACAGTAATCCAAAGACTCGCCGATTTGATATTCACTTCATATTATGCTTAACATCAATGAGTCGATCAACCAACTTTCACTTTTGTGCATACCCCATGAATAGTGGAATCCCAAATTTAGAAGTGAATTGCAATAATGCTATGTGTGTGTGTTCATACAACCAGATGGTGAGAATGTGGAAGAAAATTATACTGTCATTTTCTCTCTAATTTTAATTTGAATTATAAAACCTCATAACAGGTAATTTACAGAATAGTTACTCAATGCCAATGGGTTATATTTATGTAACTAGATAAATTCAATTAACAAATCTATTTTTTTGTCTCACTCTACATTTCTCTTTACTCTAACAGGGCCAAGCCACTAATTGTGAGAAACATTTTATCTACACAAATAGATGAAGAAGAAGCAGTTCATCTTCCTAATACTGAACTGATAGTGACAATGACCAATCAACCCTCCCAGGTTCTAAAATGTCCTGCAATTCCTCTGCCTCCAATGGCATGTTGCTCCAATCATCCGAAAGGCAAAAAGAACTGATTTCATCTTCCACTGCACTGTCTTTGTATGACAACGATGAGAAAACCCTAATTGCCTCTGCATCAAGCTTTAGTTTTTTGACTTTTAAACCTCTTTCATCTAGAATGTAGGATGAACTGAGTTCATCATCAACCTTGTAAACTGACAATGATAATGTAGATGTTGACCAACACTTCTCCTCAGAATTCTCCACTGATAATTCTTCTTCATTGTCTTCGCTGTCTTCGCCCAATCCAACCACAAAAGGGTGATTCAAGAGCATTTGAGCAGTCAATCTATCCATAGCTTTTGCAGCAAAAAAACTTCAAAAAGTCCATTGCTTCCTCTGATACCTCACTTTCATTGGGTAGTTTGAGTAGTCCATGCCCTTTACCAATGTCAGAGAGAATGTCCTCAACTTCTGAATCTTGTTTCCCATCCCATACAGACTTCCCAAATAACATCTCAAACACAATACAACCAACATCCCAGACATCATCAGGAGTCTCTTGTTGTAGCCCTCTATCAACCACCATCTATGGCGACAAACACCGAATATTTCCTCTCAATTTATAAGATTTTGACATTGTCATCATCTTCCTCATCTGCTTTTCTGTCTTTGCCAGCCCAAAATCACCAATCTTAGCCACATACTCAATCCCAGTACTAGTACTAATTGAAACAACAATGATATTCTCAGGCTTTAGAGCATGGTGAACATAACCATAGCTATGAACACAATCAAGACCTTCAATAATATGCCTTGTATAGCACCTAACATCAGATTCAAGCAATGCTCTGCCACCACTTTTCTTGATCAAATCAGCTAGGGTTCCACCAGAGCCATACTTTAAGAGAATGTTATAAATAATGCAATTGCAATAACCGGTCATGATTTCTTCCCTGAAACAACGATAGATGTAGGGACAAGCATGGAAGTTGTTAAGAACCATTGCTTCTCTTTGAAGCATAGCAGAATCAGAAACCTCTGCAGACTTCACAACCATAAGTATAGGCAAGTAGGTGAGTCTCCACGTGGGTTTCTCCAGAGTTGCCAAATAAACCGGTCCGCTGCTTGATTTTCTGATGATGGGCCCTCTGAACCACAGTTTTCCATTGCCATAGACACTTTTCTTGATGTCAAGCTTCTCATGCTTCCTCTTGATCAATACCGTCTTCACGAAGAATGCTTCTTGTTTGTGTTGTTTAGAGAACATTGAATTGATGTGAATTTTTCTTATTACTATGTAGGTATTTATAGGATTTGGTCTTAGGGTTTTTGGAATTGGTAAATAATGCGGAATTTTGTTTCCAAATTGGAATAGGTTTTAAGTCTGTAAACAGGAGAGAGTGAGTGACATAACAGTTAAGCCAACTGTCATGTGGCTTGCTGTTTAAGAAAGTATTTGTAGGGTCGATGGGTTTGGGTTTGGATTTTTGAGTTTGGATACCGGATCCAACCAGCCGCATTCGAATTTAATTTAGAAAATTCTGTTCTGGAAAAATTTTTGTACAAAAATAAAATAATGAATAATATTTCATTATCATTTTTATATGCGTAAATTATATCACCTAATTTGTCTGTTATGTCAATTTCATCCTTTTGTTCTAGTTGCATTAATTTTATTTTTAATTTGTCACAATGTGTCAAATCAATACTATTTATGTTTATAGTCTACTTCATTTTCCTTTTATTACAGTTTTAATTGCATTAATTTTACCCATCAACTTTGCACAAAAAATCTATCGGATAATAAACTCGATTAAAATTAAAGTCAAATAGTTAATTCATTATTCTCAAAGTAATTAAAAATGGTTCATTCCCTTTTAAATGAACCATTTTGTCTTTAATTTTGTCCAAGTTTTTAATCGATATTATCAATCAGACTAAATTGACAGATTATAAAAAATTAAAGAAGTTGATGCAATAGAGCTTCAAGGATCAAATTAACACAATAAATGTTGGAAATTTTAGTTTTTATAGGCTTATTTTGGGCCAACTTTGAACCCAAAATAGAGAGTGTCCCACGTGTCTTTTGGGGTGAGTCCAACGAGGTGACGTGTTCCTTGCCGCATGGTAGGTCACACAGTGAAGACGGTTTATCAAAATCATTTATGAGTGAATGAGAACTTGACGTCGTTTTCGGGTTCGTGGAATGGACATTTAAAGAATTAAATGTGGGTTTCCTTAAAATGGGTTGTCCCATATTGAAACTTTAAGCGAGCTTTTGTGAGTATATAAGCTCTAGGTGTACAACCTTGGGTTAGGCCCCAAGGGGCACCATAAGTTTGCAGAAGGGAGGAATTATGGACAAATGAAACCTTGGCTCAAACTACCACACACACGCGCGCCGCCACCGCCGTCCGGCGGTGCCGGGGGCGGGTGTGGGTTGTGGATTGGGTCTAATATTAATTTTTTGGACAAAATTCATTTGATTTTTTTCCAAAAATTCTTAATGAAATTAAATTCAAATTTTGTGCCAAAATTAAATTTAATTTTCTGTCCATATTTGCCTCTTTCAGTCCAAAATATCCAACAGATTAACTGCTCAAAACTGCTACAATTATACATATTTGAATCTGCCCAGTTCAAACGGTTTCATACAGTTTGGACAGATCAAACATTCCAGCAGTTATCTATTTGAATAGTAACAGCACCTGTTCGTTCAAAATTCAGACTTGTTGACGTTAGAATTCATACTTTTTCTGCCCTATATATACCTGGACCATTCCAGCAGATTTCCAATATGAAACTCCTCACTTTCCTTCTAGTTTTGCTCCCTTGCATGATATAATCATCATATTATTTTAGGGAAAAAAAATTCAGAGAGTTAGAACACATGTTTTGTTCGTTGTACAAATTGTTTGAAGTGCTACCACAATTTGTGAAGATCATTGTATCCTGGGAGATAGACGCCATTTAACTGTAAGCACCATAGCGAGGCGAATCTGTCTTAAGGACAGAGTGTCACACACTCGACTTGATCTTTTAAATATTTACTTGGTTTGGTAAAATAAATTTGGTAAGTAATTTATTTTCTTTTGTTTGATTTGTTTCAATTTATTTATTGTACACAGAAGATTGTTACAATAATCTTAAGACAGATTCGAATTATTCTGCTTATACATAATTTTTCGTTTGTTTCCTTTCCTCTTTTTTCTTCGTACAGATTTTACTTTCTAATTTTAAAAAATAATATTCTGGTTGGAAAAACAAATAGTAATAATATACTGTTTGACAGATAGTAGTAATATACTATCGATTTTCTTTGACAACTAGTAGTAATATACTGGTGCCATTTACAATTCAGAATATTTATTTGTGAAATTTGTTAGAAATTAATTTTGGTTTTCAGAAATAATTTATGAGTGTTCATTGATTAAAATTCTATTTCAGTATTTTAATTATTGAAGTGTTACAGAAATTTATTTTTCTATGTAGAATTAATTTTTTTAAATAATTTTTTATTTGCAAATTAATTAAAAATAAAAGTTACGATTCTTGTTACTTTTTATAGAATTTAAAATTCTATGTTTATGGTTTAATTTTCTAGGTAGTATTAAATTCTATTTATAATTGTGTTTTATAATTTAAAATTCATGGCTACTAAAACTGGTCAAACTAATGCTCAAACAAGTACTGGTATGGTGGCTGCAATTGCGCCAACCCTCTCTTCTATTAATGTTGACTGGTATGGTGACTGTGCCAGTTAATCACGGTGAAAAGCCAGAGAAGTTCTCAAGAACTGATTTTAAAAGATGGCAGTAGAAAATGTTGTTCTATCTTATTACTCTCAACTTGGCACGTTTTCTCCGTGAGGATGCTCCTACTCTGAAAGAGGATGAAACTGACCGGCAAGTGGTTGTTGCGGTCGATGCCTAGAAACATGCTAATTTCCATTGCCGGAACTACATCTTGAACAGACTTGACAACACATTATACAACGTCTACAGTCCTATCAAAAAGGAAAAGGAACTTTGGGAGTTTTTGGAGAAAAAGTACAAAACAAAAGATGCTAGCTCAAAGAAATTTGTGGCTGAAAAATTCCTAGATTTTATGATGGTTGATTCCAAGATAGTGCTCAGCCAAGTTCAAGATCTCCAACTCATTCTGTATGACATTCAGGCAGAAGACATGTCTCTCAGTGAATCCTTCCAAGTTACAGCCTTAATTCAGAAATTACCACAAGGCTGGAAGTAATTCAAGAACTACCTCAAACACAAGCGCAAAGAAATGTCTTTAGAGGAATTGGTTGTGCGTTTGAGGATTGAGGAGGACAACCGCAATTCTAAAAAGTGGACTGGTAAGCATCCAATGAATTCTAAGGCAAATGTGGTGGAACATGCTCCAAAAGTAAATAAACTGGAGAAAGTTCATCACAAGGCTCTAAAGGGGGGGGTAACTAAAAAGTACAAGTTTAATGGCAAGTGTTACATCTGTGACAAAGAGGGACATCGGGCCAAATATTGTCGTAGCAAAGGCAAAAGCAAAAGAAGAATAAGCAAGAAGCCTGCTCAAGCCCATATGACCGAAGTGGACAATATTTCCAATGGTGTAGATGACATAAATCTTTCTGTAGTTGTTTCCATGGCAAATCTTGTCGGAAATTCTAAAGAATGGTGAGTGGACACTGGTGCTACTCACTACATCTGTGCCGACAAAAAGATGTTCACATCTTATTCAGTGGTGGACAATGGTGAACAACTTTTTATGGGCAACTCTCCAACTTCTAAAGTTGAAGAACAAGGAAAGATTATTTTGAAGATAACATTTGGAAAGGAACTCACTCTCAACAATGTACTGCATGTACCGGACATTTGCAAGAATCTTGTTTCCAGATCTTTGTTGAGTAAAAATGGGTTTAGGCTAGTTTTTGAAAGTGACAAGTTTGTACTTACCAAAAACGGGATGTATGTAGGAAAAGATTACATGTCTGATGGCCTTTTCAAAATCAATGTAATGACTGTTGTACCCTCTATTATTAATAAAAATATATCTTCTTCTTACTTGCTTGAGTCTTCAAATTTATGAGATAGTAGACTTGGACATGTTAATTATGGATCTTTGCGTAGATTAATTAATATGGAATGTTTATCTAAATTTGGCATTGATTTAAATCATAAATATAAAATTTGTGTTGAGACAAAATTATCCAAACCTTATTTTCATACAATTGAAAGAAGTACGGAACCACTTAAATTAATTCATAGTGACATTTGTGATTTTAAATCAATTCAAACTAAAGGTGAGAAAAAGTATTTTATCACTTTTATAGATGACTATACTAGATATAGTTATGTTTATTTAATTTAAACCAAGGATGAAGCTTTGAAAACTTTCATTCAATTCAAGAATGAAGTTCAAAATCTACTTGGTAAGAAAATTAAGAAACTTAGAAGTGATAGAGGTGGTGAATATGAGTCACCTTTTGCTGAATTTTGTAAAGAACATGGAATAATTTATCAAACCACCGCTTCCTACTCACCTCAGCAAAATAGAATTGTTGAAAGGAAAAGTAAGACTTTAAAAGAAATGATGAATACCATGTTAATAAGTTCTAGATTACCTCAAAACTTGTGGGGGGAAGCAATACTTTCTTCCAATTATATACTTAATAAAGTACCTCGAAAGAAAGTGAATCAAACACCTTATGAATTGTGGCATGGGAGAGTACCATCCTATAAATACTTAAAAGTGTGAGGGTGTTTAGTTAAAGTGGCTATTCCTAGTCCTAAAAAGACTAAGATAGGTCCTAAAATTGTTGATTGCATTTTCATTGGTTATGCCATGAATAGTAGTGCATATCGATTTTTGATTCATAAGTTAGAACATTCCGAAATGCATGTAAATACTATTATAGAATCTCGGAATGCATTGTTCTTTGAACATATATTTCCAAATAAGACTAGACAAGAGACTAGTAATAATAAAAGATCTTATGATGCTATTACTAGTCAAGATCAAGAACAAGAGCAAGAGATAGGTCAAATTGATGAAGAGGAACCTAGGCATAGTAAACATGCTAGAACCTCAAAAGCTTTTGGTCCAGATTTTCTAACATTTTTGTTAGAAAATGAGCCTTTAACTTTTAAAGAGGTTATGTCTAGTCCTGAAGCTCCTTTATGGAAAGAAGCTATAAATAGTGAAGTTGAATCCATCCTGCAAAATCACACTTGGGAATTGGTGGATCTGTACCAGGTTGCAAACCTCTTGAGT